TGCCGACTCTGGACGACAACGGGTTTGTTTTGGTGGAAAACCGGACAATAATGCAATACTTTATAATACAAATAAAAAGATCAAAAATACTTTAGTTATCTTCGAGTGATGCATAACACTATTTTGCCTACTTTCCCGGGCCTTAGATATAAGACTAAATGCAAATATATGAATGCTGGAATAAATAATATAAATTATTGTGTTACCATCAACGAAAATTCCACCTATATCTTAAATAATTATGAGCGCATACAATATATAACAATATATAACAGCAAATATTTTGAACAATCAAATTTGATATTTATTACTCATTTGATGAACACTCGTATTTATTATAGTACAAGGAGTGCTTTAGTTATATCACGGCAAAACAATAATATAATAAATAAGTTCAAATATAATAAGATTATGATTAATTACAAAAACTTTTATAAACAATGTAACGATAATTATGATTATGGTCATATTATGTTTAAATGTATTCGGTCACTTTATCAGCAATGGAATTCAACATTATATCCGGGTTATATGCACTACGATATTACTACTATTGATCACCCAAGTAATCAGTATTTTACCAATATTAACTCGGATAAATTTGCATCAGAGTGCTTTATAAAGACTAAAGACCTGACAAGATGCACCGATCATTATTATGACAAACAGTACTATAGTTATCAACTAGCTTATCCACATAACATTTTTTTGGAAATAAATTATGGCTCAGACTCGACGACTGAATACGAGATATCACTGAAAATGTCTGCCGAAGAATACATTAGTCTAACGGCGAGTGTTATTAGTCTATGGTTTGGATTCTCTATCATTATGTTTACCGAGTATTTCAAAGACTTGTTCATTAAATTTAAATTAAATTTATTATTTTTGCGCTTGTTTAATTTTGTGAAAAACTATAAATTTAAAATACAATTTAGGCAAACTAAGGTAACTACAATACATATCCACCCAAATACCATATCTAATAATTTGTTATAAATTATTTAGTTAATGTCAATAAATGTAACTTGATGTGAATTACATAATTATAATTAAATTATTTATTTGTTCAATAATATAATTTACATATACAGAACGGCCCCGAATTTGGCACACGCGATTTTAGCATTTTTCGATTTTGGCATAAGGTTTTCTTAGCACCGGCGAGCCCTATGCATACTGTAATGTTAAATGTATCCGATTTTGGCATTNTTTTAGCATTTTTCGATTTTGGCATAAGGTTTTCTTAGCACCGGCGAGCCCTATGCATACTGTAATGTTAAATGTATCCGATTTTGGCATTTTCGATTTTGGCAGATTTCGATTTTAGCACTGCTTTTTCACTGTCAGTACAGCATAATCTATGCTTCAATTTTAGCACATTTGTGTAATTTTGAGTGAAAATGTCGGCATATAAGCGGAGAAGGGATTTCACTTTTGAAACAAAATGCAAAATTGTTAAATTCATTAACAAAAAAGTGAATTATAATGATATTGTGCCACAATTTAGTGATTAGGGATAACTTCAAAAAAAAATTCGAAAAATAAAGTCCCAAAGAGTATAATAAACTTCAAAAATGTGATTTTCTACACATTTTCTTATTTTCGATTTTGGCAGAACTCGATTTTGGCACATATTTTTTACAGCACCAATGAAATGCCAAATTCGGGGCCGTTCTGTACAATATATATTATTAGTTTTACATGTCGTGCGTTATATAAGTCATAATTTTTTATTGTTTAAAGTTGTTGATATATTATATATTCGGATTTCAGACTGGCGGATCATTATTGACGGACTGGATACTATATTTTGAGCTTGATACTAAAATGTAGGTAAAGTGCCTATTGGTAAAGTACCCTAAAATTATTTCTATTTAAATTGCAATTATGCCAATGTTCTTGCTAATCAACTATAAAGCATAAAGGCACATGCGTTTAATAGATCTAGATATAATTATTATTATTAAACAACTTATATAATCACAAAAATGTGTATGATAAAATAAGTCACATTTTTTCTAATCCCTTCGTGTGTGATTTCTTAGAAAATTTAATATCAGCACGATCATTTTTTAATACACAAAGAAAATTGCCTACAGACAAAAGAAATTACCACACACGATTTTGGCATTAAAACAAAGCGTTTTGATTAAAAATAGATCTTTGTACAATATAGTACAGTACTAATAATCCAAGTGACAAGTGTCATGATCAAGTCATTATTGACAGGTCATATGAACCAGAGCAATTATTAAATGTATATAAGTAGCTCAAACGCTATTGCAAAATTTAATATTGTACTTGGTGAATTATAATAAACATAAAAAGTAATCATAATGAAGTTAGCGTTGATTTTTAGCTTATTGTTTTTAGCGGTTAGCGCCGCACCAAAGCCTGAAGAGGCCAAAGAGTTTAAGGGCAAGCGTTGGGTTGTGTTGTGCGCCGCTGCCGGTGGTTATGGCATTAATTATGCTTTCCAGGTTGGTACATTTTAACAATTATAATTATTTAGCTTGCATTTATTGCGGTTATTAATATTTAGATTGTTAGATCATAAATAAAATAAAATTATTTATATTCGACAATTTTGTGTAATTTGGTGCAACTTTTGAAATAGTTTTATTTTACTTTAAAATAGCAAGATTTAATCAGTATAATTTATAAATGCAATTATACAAGTTTCAATTAGGGTTGAAAACTAATAAATATATAAATGTACCTAGGCTAGCGTATACCACGCCTATCATTTATTGAAAAACCATGGTATTCCGGAGGAAAACATCATCGTTATGCACCCTGATGACTTGGCCTATAACAAACAAAACCCGACTCAGGGTATTGTTGTGAACCAGGTCAAAGGTCCCGATGTCTACCACGATGTGCCCAAACATTACGTTAAGGACGATATTACACCCAAGGTAATTCACAATACCAAACTTGTCTATTATTTTAATAATGCTCGTATTCAATAATTTCACTAAATTAATACCATATTGTATTTTATAGACCTTTTTATCAGTCATTAGCGGCGATCCCAAACTGAAAGCTGCGGGAAAGAAAGTGGTAGAAAGTGGCCCTGATGATCATATATTTGTCTTTTTATTCGACCATGGTGCCACTGGTAATTAACACTATTTCACACCATGTTGTGTTTTATATTAATAAATTTGTTTATATCAACTCTACAGAGTTGGTAGCATTCAGAAAGGGTCAATTGTTCGCTAAGGACCTGAAAAATACCCTGGTTCAGATGCACGAGGACAAGAAATTCGCCAAGATGCTGTTTTACCTCGAAGCCTGCGAATCTGGCTCAATGTTCGACGGAATCTTACCTGATAACATCAATGTTTACGCTGCTGCATCATCTAGGCCCGATGAGCCCAGTTACCCATGCTGCAATGACCCCATTAGACACGTTGGTGTTGGTATGTGTTTATAACTCATCATAGTAAATTAAAATAATTATTAACAAGTATAATTACTGTGTTACCAAGGTGGTTTGTTCAGCGATGCCTGGTATAGAGACAGTGAGACCAAGGACTTGAACACCGAGACTATTGCCGAACAGTTCACATTCATTGCCAAAGAGATCAAGGGCACTGAGCACTCGGTACACTATGGTGACGAATCAATTGGCAAAATGACCCTGGCCGAGTTTTTCGGACCCAAAAAGGTGATCGATCAGTCGCTGGTCAGCAATGTCACACGTAATAATGAACAATGCCAATTGGTTAACCAACGCGAGTTGGCCGTATGGTTGGCCGAGAAAAACATCCAGGGTGCTACCAATGTTAACGACAAATTAAAGTATGATTATTAGATTATTTTTTAATGATTCTGTTTAATTACTTAATTAAATACCATTATAAAAATAGATATACCCAAGAGTTGGAGCTGATATTGAACGGCAGACAATACGCGGACAAACAGTTGAACGGTTTGTTTGAAACCCTTAAGCCGTTGACCGGTTTGGAGGCCATCGTTGCCCTCAACACCCGATCCAAAGTCAATAACCGCGAGTGTTATTACAAGTTTGTCCAGACATTTGATGAACAGTGCTTTAATTTAAACAATGTATGTGTTAATCTATCATGATTTTAATCACTTAAATTAGCTAAATCAATTTAATTATTATTGTTTTTAATTCACAGAACCCCTACTTTACCGGCAAATTGCATGCATTTGTTAACGTTTGCGAATCACTGCCACAAACCAGTGCCGCCACCGACAGTGCCATTGAGCTTATGGTACAGTACTGTCAACAAAACGCTAACTCAGCTCTTAATATCCAGTAAACATGTTTGATTTAGTTGATTTAAACTAGTACATTTTTATGGTATC